CGGAACCGGGGATTGAACTCAGATCCTTGCTTTTGCCAGTCAAGTGCTTATCCTACTGAGCCATCTCCCTGGCCCCTAAATGTCCTTTTTAAAATTCCCATACTGGGGATTGAGTCTAGGTCCTGTGTCCTGTCTCTGTGTGTGTCTCTCTCTCTTCTTAGTCTTCCTGCCTCAGCCTCCCAGAGTGCTGGGATTACAGACATGGGTCACCTCACCTGGCTTGAATTTTTTTTTTTTTTAATGTATTAAAACTATGCTGGAAAATTAATCCAGATGAGACAGTATCATGTCTGGGCCTGAGGACAGGAGGGGGATACAGATAGGAACAAGTTGACTGGATGTTGGACTGGCTACCAGGTGATGATTGGGGTAACCGAATACAGGACAGGTCTATACAGCATATTTTACTGTTTTTTTTTTTTTGGCAGTACCAGGTATTGAACTCAGGACCTTGCACTTGCCAAGCAAGCGCTTATTCTACTGAGCTATCTCCCCGGCCCACATTCTACTGACTGTTCCCACACAAATTACATTAAAAACAGTATAGAAAAAAACAAACAGTATACAGAGGCTGGGCATGGTGGTGCATGCCTGCCATCCCAGCACTTGGAAGGCTGAGGCAAGAGGATCACCACAAGTTCAAGGTCGGCCTAACAACATAATAAAGACCTTGTCTCAAAAAAAGTTCCCCAAAACCAAAACCAAAACCAAAACCAAAAACAAAAAAGCTTTTAAAACTTAAAGTACAGGGAAACAGGTTTACTGCACAAAACAAATTTACAAAGGAAATGTGAAGTTGCTGTCCCCATAATTCACCCACCCCACAATCTCTCCACTTGCATTTCAGAAAAACCAACACATAAGATTTAACTCCACAGGACAATGTACACCAAAGGCCAAACAAGACCTTGGTCGTGTAAGGGACACGTATTCTGTGACAGTGACAACTGAGAGAATAGCCTGAGTACTGGTGTCCCTGTGAGGGTGACAGTGAGCCCCTGCTGTGCCCTGCACTGTGCCAAGCATTGCACCCAGCACCACCCCCTCACCCACATGAACCCTCACCAATGCTGGTCCAACTCCATGTGCCCAAGAACGGAAAGCAGCAGAGGTGGACCCCTTCCTCCTTGGAGGGCAGCGCCACGCTGCCGCTGCATGGGCAAGTGGCCCGGGAGAGTATGCAAATGACTGAGTGTGGCTGTCTGTCTGCCAATAAAACCTTATTTATAAAACCAGGTAGTGGCCCGGATTAGGCCAAGAGGCCTATTTGCCAAACCCTGCTGGAGGGCAACCTGAAGTTCTGAACAAGCAGGAGTCTACAAGTGTGTAAGGCACAGCCCACTGCCCCATGAGCAGTGCAAGCATCAGCTGCTGAGCTTCCAAGGTCTGCATGCGCACACGTGCGCGCAGCACGCGCTCCCTCAAAGCCTCACGCCTGCCACAGTAGCGCCCCTTACAGCATCCCTGGCAGCCCCTAATGGAAGCTCCCCGAAACCAGGGCCTCTCTGTCCCCCGTGTCTCCTCCACTCATAGCAGAGAATCAGCCATAAACATTGTTTAAAAAAAAGAAAAAAAAAATTGGTGGGGTCCTTTTCAAAGAGTCTCTTTCACTCTGTGGCCTAGGCCAGCCTCAGACTCTTAGCACCATCTTCCTGCCTCAGGCTCTGGAACGCTGGGGCATTCACACACACATCTGGCTCTGTAAGTGTACCCCTTTGCTCTTTTTGATAAATAATAGACTCGTGCAAGTGTCTACAAGGTCCCCATGGCTTCTGCTACAGGGCTCTGTCTCCAATGGCCACCTCTACCAGCCCCATTACAGTGAAACCTGCGGACAGCTGTGGCAAGGCAAGGCGGCTTCAGCCCTTACGGCCCCTGCAGCCCCAACACAGGCCTGTCATCCAGCAGGTACTAAACAAACTGCCGCCTGAGCAAATCCACCAGACTCACCTTGAGGGACGGGATGTCCTCGGCTCGGATGACAAACTCGTCCCGCTCCCGGAAGATGCCCTCGCCGCCGCTCTCCCCAGCCTCCTCATCGGTCTCCCCGCACACAGCTGCGGTCTCTTGCTTCTTGGCCAGGTGCAAGGGGCGAGCGTCGGGGGGCTCGGGGTCCTCTGGGGATGGGGCAGCAGGCTCTTCGGGATGGGCAGGTGGCGGGGCTGCGGCGGGCGGGGGCGGGGGCGGGGGCGGAGAGGGCAGGGCAGGCGGAGGCGGAGGCGGTGGCAGCTGTGGCGCAGGCGGAGGCGGAGGCGGCGAGCTGGCCACAGGGGCCACCAGAGGGGGTGGCGAGGGCAGGGCTGGCGGTGGTGGCGGAGGGGGCGGCGGAGGCTGAGGTTGAGGCGTCGGGGCAGGAGGTGGGGAGGGTGGGGGCTTCTCTTCCAGTAGCGGGGGCTCTGGGAGACAGAGGGACATCAGGTATGGGGTCACTCCCCATCCTTGACACCCTCTTCTTGTCCTCAAACACCTCGTGCTTCACCAACAGCCCTTGTCCCAAGCCAGTGCCCTAGCAGCTCACTGCCATACTCAAGTCCCTCCAGGGTACCCCTGACCAGCTCTAGAACCTCTAAAACCGCAATGTCATCCCTAAACCCCCGGCCCCTTTTGGAGACAGGGTCTGGACATGTAGTACACTTCAGGCTGGCCTCAAACTCAAATCAATCCTCCTGCCTCAGCCTCCCCAGCGCTGGGCTATATATAGGCTTGTACCACTATGTTAAATTCCTCAGTGCTCTGTCCAGTTCTGAGTTATCTGAGCTCTCAAAACCCTCATCCGGAGGCCAGAGAGATAGCTCAGCAGATTAAGTGCCTGCTTAGGCAAGCACAGGGACCAGGGTTCAATCCTGGCACCACATGCCCTGCTGGCCCCACTCCTGGGCACGCTGAACTGGCCACCAAAACGGCGTGGTGGTGTGATCCCAGTGCTGGTGAGGCTGAAAACAGGAGCACCATGAGTCCAAGCTGCATAGTGAACTAAAGCGCCTGCTTAGCCAGAGCACAGTAGCTGGGCTTCAATTCTCAGCTTGCTGTGCCGGCCCCACCCCTGGGGCATGCTTAGACAGTGATTGAGACTGGGCATGGTGGTGTACACATGTAATCCCAGTGCTTGGGAGGCTGAAAACAGGATAATCACTGAGTCTGACCTACATAGTGAGACCCTGTCCTAAAAATAGATTAAAAAAAAAAAAAATCAAGCTGCATAGTGAGATCCTATACCAAATACATTTAAAACAAAAACAAACAGCCGGGGAGATGGCTCAGCAGAATAAGCGCTTCCCTGGCAAACACAAGGGTCTGAGTTCAATCCCCGGTTCCGTCAAAAACAAACAAACAAAAAATACCTCATCGGGTGCATAAAACCCTTCTCCTACTACTCCCCAGATCCACTGTCCCCATGTACCCATCTAACAATTTCCTTCCAGAGGTTTTTTCTTTTTTTTTCCTTTTTTTTTTTTGCAGAACCAGGGATTGAACTCAGATCCTTTTGTTTGCCAGTCAAGCGCTTATCCTACTGAGCCATCTCCCTGGGCCCGGTTTTTTCTTTTTAAAAAAATTTTTGACATAGCTAAGTGCTTAAATCTACCTGAGCCCTTAGAACTGCCGCTTCCACACCTGTAATCCCAGTATTTGGTAGGCTGAAGCAGGACTGCTGCAAATTCAAGGTCAGCCTGGGCAACATAGCAAGATCCTATCTCAAAAAACCAACAAAACAGACCCGCTCCTTCTCCAAGCAGGCCCCCAGCCCTCCCAAGGGTCTGTCCTTCTCTCTGCTAGCCTTGGCTCTCTGCTTTGACCCCTGTGGCAATTCCTATTTCTCCTGTCACCTCTGTTCGGCGTCCCCCCCTTGCTACACGGCTTTGCCCTAGGCCTTCTGTTCCCCAAGTCCCTCCAGAGTCCTCAAGCCCTTCTCTTCTTTACCTACTCCCAAATGTCCTCCTCGTCCACTGCCATTACCTCCCCTTCCATTCTTCCCAGTTCTCCTGCCTCAGGACAGAACCCCAACACCAGCACTTAGGGAGGCTAAAGCAGGAGGCTCACAGGTTCAAGCCTAGCCTGGGCAGTCAATTGAGACCTTGTCTCAAAATAAACATCCCAGTATCCACCAGGCCCACCATGGACCTTCGCTGGTCCAGGTAACACCTCTGAGCCCATCAGAACAAGATGCAGCTTCTTTAAAATGTATGTTTGCCCTTGATTGGGAAGTTACCTTCACAACTGTGCTCGGCTGCATCAGCTAAAGGTGATGCCCACCCCTTACAGTATGTAATCTACACAATGGTACCTAGGTGACCCTAACAACCTGAATCCCCGACCTCACCCCATACCCCCTTCTTGGAGCTCACCGGGCGTGCCACTGCTGTCAGCACTGGGGAGCCCTGGGAGAGGGGGTGGCCCCGTGACTGCTGCTGCAGTGGCCAATGGTGGCTCCTCTGGGGTGGAAGTGTCTTTAGGCCCCGTAAGGGGTGGGTCGTCCAGGGCAGAGATAGCTGAGGAGATGCTCTCCTGCAGGTCTCGGTTCTTGGCCACAGAGTCTTCCTCATCGGAGGAGAAGGAGGGCAGTGTCTCAAGGTTGCGCTTTAGCTCCTCGTCCAGCCGCTTGCAGGGCGAAGGGCAGCCCAGCCCCAGGCCCTCGCTCTCAGCAGCCTCCAGGGCACCCCCCAGCCCAAAGGCGCCTGCAGGAGGAGGATGTGACACTGCCGGGGCAGTGGGAGCCTGGGGCTGCAGGCCTCGGGCTGGCACGGAGGGTGGGACGCTCTTGGGTGGGCTGAGCGGCGGTGTCAGGCCTGCCTGGTAGAGTGGTGGGTGGCGCTTGCCTGACTTGAGGAAGTCCAGGAAAGAGGCCATGAAGCCAGACTTCATCTCCGGCTGCTTCTCCTCTACCTCCTTGATCTTTGCTTCAATCTTCTCCCGTGTCAGACTTGAGTCCAGGCTGTTGTGGTCCGGGCCAGATATGGCGTCACCTGACGAAGCTCCAAGACCCTCGCCAGCCTTGGGCACAGACAGCTTGATCTAGGTACGGGGGGAGTGGGGTGTCATGGCCTAGGAGTCTAGCCCTTCCTCTTCCACCAGCCTCCTCCCTCAGACTCAGGGGTCCAAAGCCCCTGCACCCACATTTCCAGCATCTTACCCTCCAGATCCTTTTTTTTTTTTTTTTTTTTTTTTGTGGAACCAGGGATTGAACTGAGGCCCTTATTCTACTGAGCTACCTCCCCGCTGCGCCCTTTTTTGTGGCCAGCTCAGCCTGCCCTGTGGGCAGGGCTGGCATGGCATGTTGTGCCAGGGATCAAACTATGGTCCCTGTGCTTTGTCTAAGCTTGCCTAAGCAGGCGCTTTAGATTGCTGAGGTATCTCACCAGCCCCAGATCCTTCTCAGAAGGCAGAAAGACAGATGACTCATGACCTGTCTGCACTCACCAGCTAGTTCAGTTTCCAGAGCCTATGTATGCCCCAGCACAAGGTCCCTACCTACTCATCCTCTGACAAGCAGGACTTGGTGCCCAAGACGTAGGTTCTGCTAGGCCTCAAGCTCCAAGTCACAGCTCCTGAAATCCCTCCCTTCCTTTCCTTCAAGGACCACAACCCCATCCTCCCAAATTAATACTGTAACCCAAAGCATCTCCTCTGTGGAGGTCAGGGTGCCCAGCCTCCTCACCTTCAGTGGCTTCAGGGGCTCCAACCGGGTGCCCCCTGCCTCTTCTGCCTTCCTGCCCCGGCCCCTGCCCCTGCCCCGGGGCTTCTTGGGTCCATCAGGAGTGGAGGCTGAGGCAGGCCCTGTGGTGGTGGGCACCTCCAGTGGGCGAATCCGAGGCCTGCCCCGCGGCCGGGGAGGGCCATCGCGCTTGGCCTTGGTGGGCTTGCGACCTCGGCGCCGGGGTCCGTCTGGGCCCGGGTTGGGTGGGCAGAAATCGATGTCACCCAGTGGTGAAAGGGCTGGCCGGGAACGGCAGCTGGACACCAGGTCAGGCAGGCGCCGGGGGTTGAGGCGGATGTCAGCAGGAACATCGGCTTTGTCCTCGTCAGCCTCGAACTCATACTCCTGGGCATACAGCTTCTTGGGCGTCTGGAAGGGTGGGTCGCGGCGCCGCAGCAGGTGGAAGGAGGATGTCTTGAGCAGCTTCTTTGGCTTGGTTGAGCAGAAGATGGGTGAGGTGAGGCCCCCCTTGGGTTCCGAGGCAGGTGGGGGAGGTGGTGGTGGTGGTGGTGGCGGTGGAGCAGACTGGTGCGGCCCGCTCTGGATCAGGCCCAGCGGCTCGGCATTGACGGTGGAGGGCAGCTCAGGGGGTTTGTTGGGGTCTAGGCCCAGGCCTGGTGTCTCAGGGCCAGCTCCAGAGGCCCGACTAGGGCAGTAGGGCCCATAGGGGTCATAGGCAGGGGGACCTGGAGGTGGCCCAACTGTCTTGGGACCCCCCTCATCTTCAGGTGGCCCGGTCTTGCCATAGTCGTCCGCTGCCCCTCCACCAAACATCTCCTCCATGGTGGGAAAGAAGCTGCGCTCCTCGTCCTGAAGCAAGGAGTCAGGAAAGCAGATGGAGGTCAGCGGCACGAAGCGTGGGGCCTTAGTGCCCTGCGGGCTGGGGCTTCGGTAGGCACCAGCTGGATCCTTGCCCTCTGAGTTAGGTGGCCCCACACTGGTGTCACCAGGCCCCGGGGGCAGGGGCTCCAGGGCCCCAAGCAATTCCTGCATGGCACCTGGAGGCTCCAAGCTGTCCTCTGGCCGCAGGCGTGGGCTGGGTGCCGCAGGCTCCAGGCTGTGGCCTCGGAGGTGGGCTTCAAGCTGGAGAGGCATGGGTGGTGGGGGTGGGGGTGGCGGTGGAGGCGGCTGGGGCGCCCCATCCCGAGTGGCTGGTTCAAGGAGGTGGACACCCACTTTGGGGGTGCCAGGAGAGGGGCTGGGGGCATGGCTAAGGACCGAGGGTAGTAGCTGGGGTGGGGGCGGAGGCAGCACCATGGGGAGGTCGGGGCCTCCAGCCTCCAGGAGGAGCCCATGTGGGTTGGGCTGGGCAGGCTGGGCTGTGGGCGGCGGGGGTGGTGGACTCTTCTGCAAGAAAGCCCCCAGCTCCTTGGCACCTGCCCCATAGTGGACCACAGAGGTGGCCAGTCCCTCAGAGGTCTCGCCGCCCCGCTCTGGCCCTTTCTTCTTCTCCTTCAGCCTTCCTAGGCCCAGCTCCAGGGCTGCAGTGGCCCCCTCATCCAGGCTGGCACTAGTACGGATGACACTCTGCAGGTGGTACCTCTGGGGATCTTCCTTGGCCAACTCGTAGGGTGTGCCTGGTGGGCCTCCAGCCCCACCACTACCCCCAAGTCCCTTGGAGGCATCTGCTGCCCCCTCCTCGCCCACCAAGCCCTCTGCCCCTGAGGTCCGCGGGGGGCTGGGCGCCTGCAGGAGATGCTGAATGAGGAACTCTTCATCCTCAGTGCGCTCAGCAGGGGGGCCGCCAGGGCCTGCCAGCAGCTCAGAGCCATCACCTTTGCCCTTGTAGCCGCCTGCTCCGGCTGCATAGCTGCTGGCTCCCGGGGGTGCCAGGAAAGGGGCAGAGGCTAAGACTGAGCTCAGGTATTTGCCAGGGGCTCCTGGAGATCCCACTCCAGGCGGGCGGCCAGTGGCAGGTGGCGACTGGAGTGGGCGAATGATGTGAGAGGGGCTGGCCTCCCCGCCACCTCCCAGGGAGCTGGGTCCCCAGCCACCTCCATGGCCCGAGAGTGCTGGGGAATGGCCAGTGCTATAGCTGAGTGAGGGACTGGCTGTAGGCAGTCCCTGGGAGTGGGCAGCAGGCCCTGGATACGGCTCGCCCTGCACCCCATACAGCTGCCCCTGCAGTTGGTCAGGGGAGTAGCTCTGACATGTGGCTAGGCCAGGAGGTGGTGGGCCGCTGGGAGGCTGCGGGGGGCCCCCTGAGTAGCTGGGGCCTTTGCTCAAGTCCTGTGCCTGACCCCCTCCAAAGCCCTGCCCATAGGCTTGGGGTCCCAGGAGCCCTTGGGGCTGACCAGGGGAATAGGCCTGGCCCCCAGCTCCCGCAGCTCCAGAGGCCTTCCCTGTGGCATATGCTGCTGCTGGCCCCCCCAGGCTCTGGCATTTGGGTGTGGCAGTCGATCGGGGTGGTGGGGGTCTGGTGGCACCCCCTGCAGTGGCTCCATAACCACCTTTGCCTGTTTTATAACCAGGGGATTGAATGATGGGGCGGTAGCCTCCACCACCACCCCCAGCTCCCCCGCCCCCAGCCACCTCTGGCCCGGTGGCCCGGCCTGATGCTCCAGCTGTGGCTCCGCTAGGACCAGCCTTGCTGGGTTCGCCAGCACCCGGGGAGGGCTCACCACCACCCAGGGGGCTGCAGGCCAAGTTGGCCCGGTGGCCCATGGAGGGATAGCTGCCTCCACAGCTCAGGTAGTGCTGGAGGGCATGGGCAGGTGGTGGGGGTGGGGGTGGCTGGGCACTGGCTGGCCGCTGGTAGTGTTTGATGACAGTGTCCTGGCGGGGCAGGGCCCGCTCGGGTGGCGGAGGGCCTGGAGCAGCACCGGAGAAGTTGTAGAGCTGTGGGGAAGACTGTTCAGCGGCGGCGGCGGCGGCGGCAGCAGAAGAAGAAGCCAGCAGATTGAACTGAGTTGGGAGGTGGCGAGGAGGTGGGGGCGGATCTGGTGGACCAGGGCGGTAAGGGGGTGTCTGGGCTGGTCCAAGACCTGCAGGCCCCAGGACACTGCCCCCTGCCAGGCGCTCAAAGCCCAACGAGGAGGGCACAGTGGGTGCCTGCGAGGGCTTCAGGTGTAGCACGTCATGAGGGGACAGGAGCCCATTAGCAGGAGGGCTGAATGGGGGGTCCTGGAGGCTGAGGGATGAGGGCACTGGGAAGGGGCGGCTGCCGAAGGAAGCCGGGTGCTGGTAGGCCGACAGGGCAGAGGAGGATGGGAAGGTGCTGGAACCCGGGAGGGCACCCGAGATGAAGAGCTCCGTGGGGCCTGGAGTGTGCATGGCTGGGGATGATGGAGACAAGATCAGAGCTGCCCACGTGCCAGCCCCACCCGCGCCCTCCAGGGCAGGCACTGGGCTTACCTGTTTGCCAGGAAGGACTGCGAAACTGGGACAAAAGAGAGGAGGCAGAAGGGCCAGGCTGGGGGCCCCGGGACTCCAGGGCTGAGATGAGGTTCATGACGGAGGCGTCGGGCCCCGCTGAGCTGGCGTGGTGGAGGCCAGTGTCAAAGAGTCCAGAGAGGCCTAACCAGGGAGAGGGGACAGAGTCAGCCAAGTGAGGGGCAGGGCAGGCTGGGAGAAAGGGAAGAGGTCAAACCAAGCAGAATCAGAGAAAGAGACGGCAGAGAACAGAAAGGGTCAATTCACAGAGGAGAAAACAGGCAGAACCAAGCTGAGACCAGGCCTAGCAGAGGGAAGGGAAAAGGTGACATGGTACAGCAAGATGGGGTGGGATCCATACATAAGGGTAGAGAACCCCAGTGGGAAATAATAGCCAAAAGAACAGAAAAGGCCAGGCATGATGGAGTATGCCTGCCATCTGAGGGCTTGGGAAGTTGAGGCAAAAGGATCACCAATTCAAGGTCAGGCTGGGCAACTTAACAAGTTCAAGGCCAGCCTGAACTGCACAGTAAAGTCCTGTCTCAAAAAGTGAAAAGCCAGCTGGGCATGGTGGTGAATGCCTAAAATCCCAACACTCTTGAAATCCCAGCATTTAAAACAGAGGCAGGCAGGAGAATTGCTTCGAGTTGGAGGACAGCCTGAACTACACAGAGACCCTATCTCAAAAATAAATAAATAATTCTAGAAGGGACAGAATCCTTAATTAGGCTTTGGGGTAGAGGAGTAGGCCGGAGGATTTGGAAATGCCAGCAAGGAAGGGAAAGGAGGAGAAAGGGCAAGAGGAGTCTCATTACGACCCTCTCACAAGTCAAAAGGGTTAAGCCAAAGTGGAAGACCCAGCAAAAAAGGTGGGAAGGAACAGGGAAGAGGCCGATCAGGAGGTCCAGGCGTCAACCGGGACAGCAATCTCGCGATCACTGGTATACCTGGGACCCAGGCTGTGTGTCAGGGTAGGAGGGAACCAATAAGAACACGCGGAGGCTGGGCTAAAGGGACCAAATAAGGTAGTGGGCAAACCTAAGCAAAAAAAGGAGGCGCAAACTGGATCCTATCAGGAGGAAAGAAAATCAGGAAGAATTCAGAGGGCAAAAGAGCCAAGAGAATAGGACTCATTCGGAGGGAATGCATTGGAGTGGTTGGAGAGAGCCCGAAAGGCCTGGAAGAGAAGGTGGGATTTGGGGGCTGATGCGATGGGGCCAATTGGATAAAAGGGGCGGGGCAAAGAAGCAGCTGACAAATCCGGCGTGAAATTAAGCTGCAAACAGCAACCAATCAGAGGAGAGACAGTAAGAGGAGGGCCACGACACCGAGCATGGCCAATTAGCTGAGGTGGAACTTTCAGCAGCCAATCAGCTGCAGGAGGGGGAGGGCCAAGGCTAAACCGGGCGGGATGGGGGCCGTACCTGCCGGGTGGTGGTTGGTGGCATAGCTTTGCAGTGGGTGGGGGGCCGCATAGGCCTGTCGGTGTAAGATGTCCGTCTCGGGGTGCGAGGTCCTGGAGCTGCCATAGACCAAGCTGAGAGCAAAGGGGCGATATTAGAATGTCCTCTCAAACTGCCCTCCGTGAGGGGAGCTCAGGAAATCCCCAGAGTTGGGGGGGGGCTTCCAGCTGATTTAGGGGGTTATCCCAAGGAACCTTGGGCTTTTAAGGGGAAAATGACGGGGGAATGCGATGCCTAACTGCCACAGAAATGGCTTCCACTGCAGAACCCCAGTAAATAGAACTCAAATAGTTTCACGTTTACAAATACAGGCATGCAACCAGAAACACAGCAGAGGGTGCAAATCAATTCGGAGGAAGTGTCGCGGAGTTGAAAATGCAAAAGGCGTGGTCCTCCTATCGTCCCTCCACCGCCCTACGTGGTTGTGACACAGACTAAAGGGTCCACCCCAGAGGTGCACAAGGGTACCTGTCGCTGGATCGGGGCAGGCTCTGAACGTTGGGGCCGTGCAAACCTAGCTGAGGGGGCTGGAGGTAGATTGTTCTCCCTACGGGAGGGGGAGGGCGGAGGACTGGGGAAAGTACCAGGTACAAGTGCTAACACGAATCTGGTCCATCCCCAGGGGCTGAGGCTTCCATGCATGGGTCCAAGCAAAGCCAGGTACGTGTGCACACGGGCATTCAGCTGACCCGTGAGGAAGAAAAGGCTCAGAGCAAAGAGTCCCACACGAAAAATCCCGACACGCTGGAATGCTGGGTGGGGGAGGGGCTAGGGGGCAGGTGAGGCGCTAGGACGACACTGGAAAGGGGCAGATACATAGAACACTCACACACCGGGCCCACATTCACTCACACACACACACACACACACACACACACACACACACACACACAGAGAAAACATCCGATTCTTCGCAGGCAAAGGCCCAAATTCGTGGCCAAGACTCAGAGGGTACTGGCTTCTGGACATTAAATAGGTTTCTGTCTTTGGGGGTGGGGGGAGCTTAAGGGGGCGTGTCCCTGATGCCAGACCCCCCCATTACACACAGAACCCAAGCTTAAGAAGGGGGCGGGGCCCCGTGCCCACTCTGCGCGCGGAATTTCTTGGGGGACCAAGTGGCCCATCCTCGCGCAATCCCGGAACAATAGGACCTGGGAGGGGGTGCGCGCCCCCCAGGTCTGCGTACCAATCCTCCTTTCCTTCCACCTTTACAACAGTAAAGCCAGGGGCGCTGGGGAGGAGGGTTCAGCAAGCTAGGAATCCAAGGATGCGGGGAAGTCCAGGCCTTGCTTCGCCTGTCCCTCCCACCTTCCCAAGGCCTTCCCGTCCGAAATTGTTTTGCACCCATATTTTCCCGCTGCATTTCTCTCTTTGCAAGCCGGAGCTGGCTTTGGCAGAGTTTGCAATTTGCAAACTGGGGCGGCGGCGTTGTTACAAACCGAAGAAGGCCGCTCCCTTGCAAGCCGGAGGGGAGTTTGCGATGCACGCGTCGCCGGGCGGGCCCGGCCCGGCCCAGCCAGGCCCCCACCCCTTGGCCTCTTTCTCCAGGCCACCCTCAGCTCCTTACCTAGCTTTCGCTGACCTCTCGTAACTCCATCCCGCCCCGGCGCCGAGCGGGTCCCCGAAGCCGGCGCTGGGGTAGTTCCTGTCCATGAATTGGCCGCGGTGGAAATTGGGGGGGAGGGGGAGGGGGAGGGAGGGGGAAAGGAGGGGGCGCGCGCGCGCTCTCCTCCGCCGCCGCTCCCTCCGCTGCTTTTTTTCCTCCCCTTTTCTCTTTTTTTTCTTTGCAGCCGCCGAAGGCCCGGGAAGGTCCGGGGGGGGGGGGGGGGGGGGGGGGGCGGAGGGGCGGGCAAGGGAGGGGGGTGCAGCTGCTGTACCAAGAAGGGGGGAAGGGGGATCCCCCTGGAGGAGGGAAAGGGGGGAGGAGGGACCCCGCTGTCTCCGCCTTTGCCCGGGCGCTTGCAAGAGAGAAGGGGGGGGCGCGCGCTCGGGAGGGGGCGTCCCGGGCGGCCCCGGGGTGGGTGCAGGCGCTGGGTGCTCGCTCTCTCGCCGCCGCCGCCGCCGCCTCCTCCTCCTCTGCGCTCACGGTGCAGCCATCTTTGCACAAGGCGGCTGGGGAGGGGGGAGGGGAAGGGGGGCGGGCGGCGGGGTGTCTGGCTGCGCTCCGCTTCCTCCCACAATCCCGTGCAAAAGCAAAAAAAAAAAAAAAAAGAGAGAGAGAGAGAGGCTGAGCGACTGAGCTCTAGCAGAGCCTGGGGGTGTAGGACACAGCGCTTGTACAGAAAACCAGCTCTGCCGTGCGCAGATGCGCTAGAGAACGCAGTTCAGTTCATTAGATTTTTATTTTTGCATTGTTTCGGCCTTTTATTGGGGGGGGGCTTTCCAAAGGATTTTTATAACAGCTTAACTGTGGATCCCCGGTGCAACAGAAGCACCTGCCCCCTCCAGCACACTTGCAAAACGCCCCCCACCCTTTCCCTGGGTTATGAAGGGCACCTGTGTGCGCACGGGGGGGGGAGGAAAACACGCGTGTGCGCGGGTGGGGCTCTCGTGTGTTATGTGTCTCGTGGCACGGAAGAGCCAAGTCGAGTCACATCTGGCCACACGCAAGACTGCTCACCCGGCCTGCGAGCACACCTATCCTGAAGACGGGACTGACCGGCGGCCCCCCCTAGTTGGGAGGGGAGCGCATGAGGGGTAGGCACCCCGGCTCTGCAACACATTGATGCGTGTGTGGGTACGCGGCGGAAGCACGTGTGCCCGGGTAGGCCTCGGGTGGAATGACCCTTGATCTTCCCCCACCCCCAGCTCAGCTCAGGTCTTTAAGAGGCCTGGGGGCTTCCGGAATCTGTTGTGAATCGGGGGCACGGTTCTGGGGAGCCCCCACTCTGCAGCAGCTCTTCACTGAGGCCTCCTGAGGCTACAAGGGGAGGAGCACAGTAGGGAGTCAAAGATCAGCCCCCCCCAAGATTGGTGCCTCAGCCAATCCCGGGCCTTCTGGGCACAAGCCCCACCTTTCTATAGACTTGTAATACTCTACTCTCCCAACGTCGGGCCACGCCCCTGTAGACAGTTGCACAGGGCCCCGCCCCTGCACCTCAAGCCCTGCCCCCGGGTATCCAAGCCACGCCCCAGATCACCTCCCTCCCCCTTCACCTCCGCCCGCGTAGCAGCTCCGCCCCTACCTTGAGTAAGGGGGTGGAGGTGCATCGTGCACCCCAGAAGCCGCCAGCGCTTGCTCATAGGTGGGGAGGCCTGGGGGTTGGGATGGAGGCAGGGGCGTCGGAGGGCTCAGAGGGCTGATGAGGCTGGTTCTGGAGACAGAAAAGATTGGGGGGGGTCAGGTTAGAGATGGTCAGTAGAGAGGACAGTGACCACCAGAAATAGAGTGTTAGAGATGGAGGGAAATAGACCAGAGGAAAAGAGGGTCACCTTCAGCCTAGCCCTATGTGGCAGAAAATCAGCCTGAAATGACAGGCACGGTACATGGCAGGTAGACACAGAAAGGAGAAAGGAATGCAGGCCTGTAATCCCAGCCTTAGAAGCAAAGGGAAGAGCCTCAAATTAGAGACCAGACTGGGCTACAGAGTGAGTTCAAGGTCGCATGGGCTACATGTCAAGACCCTGTATAAAAAAAGAAAAAATTAAAACACACACACACACACACACACACACACACACCAGAGCAAGGTGGAGTACACCTGCCATCCAGCATTCTAGAAGGCTGAAACAGGAGGATCGAAAATTCAACCCCATCTTAGGCAATATGGCAACTTAGTGAGACCCTGTCTCAAAATAAAAAGGGCTGGGAATGTCACTCAGTCTGAAGGCCCTGGGTTCAATCCTCAGTACAAACAAACAGACAAAAAAAGACCCACAGAGAAAGGCTTTCATTCACAGAGGCACCAAATGACAGGCAGCGTGATAGAGAAGCAGCCCTACAGACAGGCAAGTAGACAGATACACAGAGGACAGAATCAGCAGATCCACACAGACAGCAGCACAGCAGAGACTAGGTCATACTCATCCTTTAAAGAAAACCCAGACCCACTATACTTGGACACTCAGACCCTCAGACCCCCTTTGAGACCCTGCCAGTGCCAGTGAGAGACACTCCTAGATCACTCACTGCACACAGAAACACACGCTGCTCCCCATCACCATGGAAACTGCCAGGCCACAGGCAGCTGTGGACCACGGGCTGCTCAGTACCAGCCTCGCCAAGACAGGGTACGCTGAACAGTGTTCTCCTGGGCACCTGGAAGCCCAAAGACAGGCAGGTAGCAAATGCTTCCAGAACTCCTACCGCCTGCTGGACTCTTTGGAGCATTCCTCACGCCCTCCAACCCCCAAGCCTCAGCCCCAGATCAAACCTTCCTCCCTCCAGGTCTCTTACTCTTGGGGACTCAGCTGTTGGCTTGGGGGCTGGCGCCGCCGCCGCCGATAATGCAGATACCAGAAGGTTCCCAGGCCGGCCAACACAATGAGCAGGATGCCAGACGTCAACCCCACAGCCAGGGCCGCTCCATCTATCCGTCTCTGCCCTGTGGGGAAGGGAGCTGCTCTGTTATAGGCTGTTGGACCCCAACATCCAAATCCCACATACCCCCACAGCTGGAACCACTTCCTCATAACTTCAGGGAATTCTAGAACATAAAGGGACTGTAATAACATCATCTGAAACTAAGAAATAGGGGATCTGTAGCCCCATGACAACTCAGGGAAGCCCTCAGCTGACAGGGGGTGGTTCTATCCCCAAGAATCGGGCGCAACTGCTGGTAAGGGATCTATCTACAAAGCTAGCACTTGACACACTGAAGGCAGCGAAGGGCACTCGGGATGCCGGCTTGAAGAGCCTCCTAATTCAATAAAATTAATAAAAAAAAAAAAGAAAAAGAGGCCCCTAAGCCAGGCACAGTAGCGCACTCCTGTAATCCCAGAATTGTGGGAAGCTGAGGCAGGTGGTCATAAATTCTAGTCTAGCCTGGGCAATTTAGCAACTTAGTGAGGACCTGTGTCAAAATAAGGAAGGTTCAGGATGTAGGTCAGTGCAAAAGACCCTGGGTTGAATCTTCAGTACCACAAAAGTGAAGAAAGAGGGATTGGGGAGATAGCTTAGTGGTCTAAGTGCCTGCCTGGCAAGTACAAAGACCTAGGTTCAATCCCTGGTACTGCATGTCGTGCCAGCCACTGAAACCAAACATCAGGGCACACACTTGTAATCCCAGCACTGGGGAGGCTGAGACAGGAGGATCACTACAAGTCTGAGCTGCATAGCAAGACCCTGTACCAAATATAAATAAATAAATAATGGAATAAATAATGGGGCTGATGAGATAGCTCAGCAGACTATGCCTGCTTAGGCAAGCTGGGACCATGGTTTGATCCCTGGTGCCACATGCTGCCCCAGCCCCACCCTGACGGTGGGCTGAGCTGGCCAGAGTCGGGCATAGTGGCACATGCCTGTAATTCCAGCACTGGGGAGCCTGAAAGCAGAAGAATCACCACGAGTCCAAGCTGCGTAGTGAGACCCTGTAACAAGCAAATGCATTAAAAAAATAATAATAATAATCATGGGGGGGGCAGGGAGATGGCTCAGTAGAATAAGCACTTCCCTGGCAAGTGCAAGGGCCTGAGTTCAATCCCTGGTTCCGCAAATAAATAAATAAATAAATAATAATAATAATGATTTAAAAAAATTTTTTTTCAGAATCAGGGATTGAACTCAGGCCCTTATGCTTTCCAGGGAAGCACTTATTCCACTGAGCCATCTCCCCAGCCCCTCTGGCCCTGATGAAAATAATTTTTTTTTTTTTGCGGAATCAGGGATTGAAGTGCTTATTTTACTGAGCCATCTCCCCAGCCCTTAAAATAATTTTAAGAAAAATGAACAAAGAGGTCTTACACTGAGTATTGTCAGATGTAACCATTAATAACAGACATTCAGATGTACAATTATTTATTTATTTATTCATTTAGCTATTTATATATTTTTGAGTAAATAAAACAGTAAAACCATTTAGTTAGCCCGGCTGGGTTTGAGCCTGTTATCCTCCTGCCTCAGCCTCCCAGAGTGCTAGAATTATAGCCCTGTGCCTAGCAACAACAAATACACTTTAGGGCTGGCCAGATAGCTCAGCAGACTAAAGCACCTCCTTAGGCAGAGCGCAGTGGCTGGGGTTCAAGCCCCAGCCTGCGTGTCAGCCCCATCCCCAGGGCACACTGAGGCATCGATTGAGACTGGGGGGGGGTGGCGCGCACCTGTAATCCCATCTTCCCAGGGAGGATGAAAACAGAAGGATCACTACAGGGCTCATCTACATAATGTGACCCTGGAGACCCTACACTAAATTTAAAAAAAAAAACACATTTTGGCACAAGTATATCCCTTGAAGTATTTGGAATATATCTATACTTTAAAATTTTTTACATTGTGCATCAGAAATTTAAACTGACCCATGAGGGAGGGGCATAGAGGGAGCCAAGCTTCCAGTACTTTGGCATCTCCACCTGCTCTGGAATGCAACCCCTTCTCCTGATTAAGCAACTGGGGGACAAGGCCTCCACTCTAATCTATGTTCACAATCTACAGGAAAAAATGGCCCTAGTTTAGGACCCTAGGGACACACCCTCAAATAATTGGGTATCTAGAACTCAAGTGGACATTTGATAAGATGCAGCCCTCTTTAGCATTTGGAGGGCAAAGGAGGGAACCTCAGGCTTTCCAGAATGTGCTACTGGGGATACTTGTTTTCCTCAAGGGTTGGGCATTGAATTCAGGGTCTTCCCACTCTCCCTTCTTTTTTTATTTTCATTTTTTGGTTTATTTGGAGACACGGTCTTGCCAAGTTGCTAAACTGCCTACAAGCTAGGCTCCAGCTTGCCATCTTCCTGCCTCAGCCTCCCAGAGTGCTGGGATTATAGGCATACGTCACCATGCCCAGCTCAGGGACATTTCTTTTGGCACGGGACGGAAAGCATCCTTCAAACAGTAAACTCTGGGATTTTTATCCATTTTAGGAAAAACTTGCACTAAGGAGGCAAGCTGTCCCAATTTGTGGACTGAAGAAGTTACTGGGCCTCGTTAAGCCTATACGGAAGGAACTGCCTCCCCTTAACAACTAGGCTCCCATGTAAGGATGTCAGCCCAGTCCTAGGGCCTGTTGCTAAGGTGCTTCCACCCCTAGCAACCAGGCCATGAGGGGGTGGGGCATCTGGTGCCCAGAGGGGGGTCCTCTGGCAGGCAAGAAGCCTTGGCTACTCCAACTAGGTGCAGTTGCTAGGGAGAAGGCCTCCTTAGCAACTAGGCTGCTGCAGCTGGGATGGGGTTGTGGGGGAGGGGAAGACAGCCAGGTAGCACTTGGGGCTTCCTCAGGCTGGCCTGGCCAGACCCCGTTGCTAAGGAGCAGCCCCCCTTAGCAACAAGGCTGCAGTCAAGATGGAGCCTCAGAATTCAGAGGAGGGGCAGGGGGTTGGTAAAACAACAGGAAGGACAAGACAGGTGAGGATGGCTCTGAAGGCACTGGGGTCTGGATTCCTAAGAAGGACGTGGGGTTGGCTTACCCCTCAGATGGATCTTGCAGCCCTAACCCTCCTCCACTGTACTGCTCCCTTTCTGGGGACTCAGGGCCTCCTCCAAATGCCAATGCAGGGCTTCTCCGATGGGATTCTACTGTCAGGGGAGGGGGCTCTTTAATGGTCATCTTCAGGGAGCATGAATTGGACGTCAGCTAAGTCTGTGTCTAATTTGGGGTGAGGGGCATTGTTTTGGCCTCCGTGGGAACTGGTGCTCACTGCTGCACAGCACAAGGGGGTGTGAGCCCCACTTACCTCCTTTGCCATTGTAGGGGTAGCTCTCCCAAAAACGATTCTTGAAAGGCCAAGGGAAAAAGAGGAGGAGGAAAGGCAGCAATTCAATGGGGAGATTCACAGTCCCACAAAAGCAGCCCACCCTGACCTCCGAGTCCCCAGGAATGAAGTTGCTGAGGCCCAGGGTCCTTATCCCAATGCCTGGAAAGGACAGAGGGTCCCAGGCTTAGGGGCCTCCCAGCCTTCACCGTCCGGGTGTTGTCCTCGAAGTACTCCCGGGCCTCTTCCCAGGAACACTTCTCCTCGATGCACTCCCGCTCCAGGTTCCCTGGTGTGAACAGCTCCAGGTCCCAGTGATTGGCTCGAGGAACTCGTCTGTGGCCCACCAGGAACCGCTGGGCCTCTGAGGGGCCCAGAAAGAGTTCTGGGCCTAAAGATGTGACGGCAGAAAAAGAGACGGTCCCTAGGCCTGGGTGCAGAAGGGGTGGAGATCTAGGGAGTCCCCTCAGGAAAAGGTCTGGGGCCTGGTCTGAAGAAGGGGGGCGCTGGACCCTTGGAGTAAAGGGGACAGGGATAGGGGACATAGAAAGGCAGAGGCCAAGCCACCAGCCTACAGTTACTTCCCACCAGCCTACCTTGGTCTTGCTTTTCACCACTGGAAGTATCCAGACAAGTGGCCAAGCCCATACAGAGCAGCAGCAGGGAAGGGTGACCCCTCATATCTTGTGGACACCTGAAACCAGGTGCTGAGTAGGGAACCGGGGCCTCAGTCCCTGGGGAATAAGGCAAAGGGGTCACCACTTGGTCTCTGTGGTGATAAACAATGAGCATCAACTTCTTTTCACTTTTTTTTTTTTTAGACAGGGTCTCACTGTGCAATTCAGGCTGGCCTTGAACTCGCAATACTCTTCATCTTCCTGCCTCAGCCTTCCAAGTACTGGGATTATAGGTGTGCAACACCAACCCAGCTTGGTTTCACTTTTTCAACAAGTTTATTGTACCCATTTTATAGATAAGGAAACTAAAGCCACAGGAGACAAAATAACTGGCCTAGAGACACACAGTTTGGCTGGGCGCACTCCTGTAATCCTAGTACTCAGGAGGCTGAGGCAGGAGGATCATTGCAAGTTCTAAGACCACCCTGGGCTGCAAAGGGAGCTCAAAGCCAGCCTGAACTTCATAGTGAGACCCTGTCTCCAAAAGACAAAAACAAAACAAAACACTTCACAAATAGATTTGCGGATTTGAGGGAAGGCAGTGTTTCCAGAGAGGAGGACGAGAGTGATGTGGCTTTTTCTTCCTGTGTGACACCCAGTGGGCTTGGTGCGCAGTAGGTGCTCAGACACTACTCCCTGGAGAGCTGGAATTGCTTCTGCCGCCCTGGCAACTTCCACTGACACCTCTCCCTGTCCATTGCTACATCCACCCACAGAGATCAAAGATCACAAAGCAAGGTCCTAGGTAAGGGTCTGAAACTGTGAGGGGGCAGCAGCTCTGATCTCCTCAGACTGGGGGGCCCAAGTTTAGGGATCTTAGAAGGTGGGGGGCAGTGCAGCAGGGTCCCTAAGCCAGGCTCTGTCTCCAGGAATACACACTTACCTGGCCAGGTATGTGAACACTGCTCTTCCTCTTTAATTGGGACCTCCTAGGCCAGCAGCGGCCAGCTGTGAGAAGGGACGGAGGAGGGGAAGGAGGAAGGGTCCTCAGCTCCGATGGTATTCAAGCCAGAGCCCGGTTTCTGGTAGTGGGGCGGGGCTTGTATTACCTGCTCTGGGCGGGACTCAGGTAAGGGACAAATCTTTTAAAGGGACCTTAGGAGGAAGATTCTATGGGCTAGAGCTCCTTGGAGAAGCCAGGGTGTCTGTCACCATAGGGAGCTTCGGCGACTGGATTTCCACTCCCTCCTCCATCATCCCTCCATCTCCCAGGCCTGTCCACCCCCTGGGAGCTTGCCTGGGCTGCTGGGAAAATAAATGCCTGAGACTCTATATATCTAGAAACTAGCAGAAACGGCGTGGCTTGGTCCCTGCCATAGCCGGAGAGTAATTTAAAAAATCCCTGCTTCCTAACAGTGACGTGAACACCCTAGATTTCGATTTCTGATTATACTTTATAAAGTGGGAATAGAAGAGTTGTCACTTCTCAATAATCCCTTAAAATGTAGCCTGAAAAACAGATAATATATTTGGAGCAATAGGCATCCCGACCTCTGGCATAGGTGATTAGTTCTTAAACTCTTAAACTTGAAGAGTCAAAGCTTGGGAATGGAGCGGGAAATCTGCGCTGGCAAATGCTAATACGGTACATACTAAGCAATCCCCGTATTCATACCGGCTTCATTAACCGGAACCTTCTAGTTGCAACTTACGTTTCCGGAGGGAGGAAGAAAAAGAAGAAAGGACTTACCAAACCTGGCAAGACACCTCGGCAACTAGGGGCAGCTTTATTTCCGGTCTCTACTGTCAGGCGGAAGGAGGCAGAGCGGAAGAGAAAAACAACACTCCCTTCCTGTGCATTGGCGCAGTTAAAGCGAAGAGGGAGCGAGGAGTCGTTTGTGAGGTGAGTTTCAGGAGGTGAAGGGGTGATATGGCTGAGGTCCAGTCCTGCGGGGTAGAGCTCTGGGATCCCAAGGAGAACTAGGGCTAGATTTCGGATTCCCGGGTCCCTGTAAATTATTAATTGAGCTTTCTGGGCGCTCCAAGTTGGAGGGTGAACTACATCTCCCAGCATCCCCTGAGAGCCTAGGCTCGGTCCATCAGTTCTTCGGGGAGAGTAGTTCCGCGATGGAGGACGAGGGGTCGGAGGACCAGATGGAAAGAGGGAAACTTCCAGGGCCTAAGAATTGGTAGTTGAGAGGAAGCAGGACTCCTCGTTTCTTGGCATCAGCCCGGACGGAGGACGGCGGGCGGGCGGGCGGGCGGGCAGGAGTGGATGGGCTCACCTGTGGCTGTCTTCTCTGCTCCCTTCGACAACCCCTTTTCTCTTGGGGCTAGGATAAGGTTTGCCGTATTCTTTTGTGAGTTTTGGAGTCGGGAATACTTTGGCTTTAATCCTGACTGTGCTGTCAGTTCAGTGTGACGTTGGCCCTTGAAGGGTCCTGGAAGCAGTTTTAATGTTGTATTATAAAAATGTTCAATGTTGCCCAGACTTGCTGCCCATGATGATTTTGGCCATACTTGCTAAATGCATTTTTCAACTTCTCAAAGTGTATCCTTTGGCTACATCGTGACAATTCACCTTTAGTTCAGGATATATGAGTAAAAACCAAAGACAGTCCCTTACTCCCATCACACCTGATCACGGTAACCACTCACACATTACGTGTGTGTGTGTGTGTGTGTGTGTGTATTTTAGGGAAGGGTCTACAGGGTGTTCAGGGTCTCACTACTATATCGGACTCGTAATGATCCTCCTGTTTACAGCCTCCCAAGCGCTGGGATTACAGGCGCTCACCACCATGCCCAGTCGCAATCGCTGTCTCAGCACGCCGGGGGGTGGGGGTGGGGTGCTGGGCCAGCACGGCAGCCCCTGCGCCAGCTTGCAGGCACTTTAATCCTTTGAGCTATTTGTCAGGCCCCTCACTCACAGATTACCACATTTGATCTTATCCAAAAGGCTGAGAAGCGATTCTCACACATTACCAAAGCAACCGTCCTGCTAGATTGTGATCCACTACTTAGACCATATTAAAATCCAGTGACTCAGAAATATGTGTGTTTGTGGCACTGGGAATCAAATCTAGAGTTTGTGCTAAGCAAGCACTGTACCACTGAGTTATATACTCCCACCCCCAAAATACCGTGTTATTCTTGTTGTTGAATTGTTGGTTTGTTTGAAACAGGACCCAGTCAGGTGATAGCTTATTATGCCTTTTAAGTCTTTCATAGAATAGCCCACCTCTACTGCACCTTTTCTTGGTATAATGGGTTCCTTCACTGAAGAAACTTGGACCTGGTGTTCTGTTGATCATCCTACCATCTGATATGTCCTTTGGCTTCTTGTTTGTTTTGTTTTGTTTGTATTTTGGAGACAGGGTCTTGCTATGCAGTTCAGGCTGGCCTTGAACTCACTTTGTAGGCTCATCTCAAATTCACAGCACTCCTCCTGCTTCAGCCTCCCGAGTGCTAGGATTACAGGCTTACTCCACCGTGCTTGGCCTCTGTTTTTTTTTTTTTTTGAGACAGGGTCTCATATAGTTCAGGCTGGTCTTGAACTCAGGGATCTTCTTGCCTCAGTGTCTTGAGTGCTGGGATTACAGGCATGCACCACCATGCCCAGCTAGGGCTCTGACTTTCAGTCCTCCTGCCTAAGTCTCCCAGAGTGCAGGATGAGGCATATGTCTGCCTTGGCTACCTTTGTTTTCTTTTCTTTCTTTCTTTCTTTCTTTCTTTCTTTCTTTTAAAAATGTATTTAGTAGTAGAGGGTCTACAGGGTCTCACTACACAGATCGGATTTGTAGTAATCCTCCTGTTTTCAGCCTCCCAAGCACTGAGATTATAGGTGCCCGCCACTACACCCAGCCTCAATCAGTCTCAGTGCACCCCCGGGGGCGGGGCCAGCATGGCATGCCTGGGGATCAAACGGTCCTTGTGTCTGCGTAAGCAGGCGCTTTAATCCACTGAGCTATCTGGCCAGCTCTAGACCCCACTTTCTACTGTTCGTTAAAAAAAAATTTATTTCTCAGGCCAGGGAGATAGCTCAGTAGAACAAACACCTGCCTGGCAAGCACAAGGTCCTGAGTTAAATTCTCGGTACTGAAAAAAAAAAAAAAATTGTATTTTAGGGAAAGGTCTATAGGGTGTTCAGGGTCTCACTACTAGATTGGATTTATAGTGAGCTGCCTGTTTACAGCCTCCCAAGAGCTGGGATTACAG